ATATATATATTGGAGAGCGAAGTGAAGTATGGTGAAGTGAAAAGTCTTGACTATAGTGGGAAGAAGACAGGTGGGAGCATGCGGAGCGAAGGTTCTCCACTGTTTCTGCAAAGTCTGATTCCTCTTTTTCTCTAGGATTTTGATAAAAAATTCACAACAAAAAATTTTCTTCGTTTTACGAACCTGATGGCGATAAATACATGAGTCACATTTCGGTTTTGGATCTGGGATGAATAGGTTCAAGAGATGAGAGAATTTATATACGTATATATAAAGTTGGGTTCATATGAGAATGGTGTTCAATGAAAGAAATGAGAATAAATCGTAGCTATTAGATCGGATGATCTAATGGCTAAAAAAGGTCAAAATTAAACCTTCATTAAGGGTATTTTGGTCATTACAATTACACATCAACAACAAATCACCATGCCACATCACCCCCACACACACATAACACATTCAAAACACACGCACACACACACCTAACACACGCACACACACTCTGCACACACACACACACACATGGCTGGAATAGCTTTCGCCGGCGGCCACACCACGCAGCACCGCCGCGCCCACCATGCCGGCCGCCGCTGCCGATTGCCGACGCCAGAGAATGTCAGTATCGTCTCCGCACTTCTTCATCCACCAACCCCCGCCGCTCAAATCCGACGAGAAGGCCTTCTACTCCAGCGACACCAACCGGAAGACCTTCTAGAAACACGGCGGCGCCTGCACCAGGAGGTTGGTAGATGTCACACCTGTGTCGCTGGAGAGGTCCTAATGGCCGGCGTTGGGGAGGTTTATTCCAGGTAGGACGATGGTGGATCCACGCGACTGCGTTCAACAGGAGCGACGGTACTTGTTGAGATGGACTGTCGGAGCCGAGTCTGGGTGGTCGCGATTGAGCTGGTGATGATGGTTGGCTTTGGGGATGTTTGTTCCGGACAGGATTCCAACACGCCGTCCACGTGGCGGCGATAGACTGTAAACCGTCGGTACTTGCCGATATGGACTCCAGAGCCGAGCTGATGGTTAAGGTTGCCGGAGATGGCACCGTACGAGCCGACGGGATCTGCTGCGAATTGGGCGTGATTTGGGAATTAGGGCGTTTGGTCTCTCTTTTTTTGTTGAAGTTAGATAATATTGAAGGGCACATTTGTAATTTTACCAACTTTGAGTGTTTTTTCATTTAATATGGGCAATTGTGCAATTTATAGCACCATTTTTTATAATGTCTATTAATATGTAAAATTTTAGTATATAAAAATTTTTAAAATATAAATATAATTTTATAATAATAAATAGTAAATTATTTCAATTATTTAGGTTATTTCGATGCACAATTATATATACTAAATTTAGTTTTCAAAAACACATAATTTATAATTGTTCATATAATATAATGCACTTTATATATCAGTACAATGCACTTTATAAAACATCACGTTGCACTTTATAAATTAAATTGTTGTATTTTACCAAAATTACTGTAGTTCAGTGTATACTTAAACGTGTTGCACATTATAAAATAACATGTTGCACTTTATAGAAGAGCATTTTGCACTCTATCACGACTATTAGATTGCACAATATAGATCGAAATTGATCGAATTCAAATTTTTTCAACCAAATATAATATAAATATAATAAATAAAATTATTAACATATTTAATAAAATTTTATATAAATAACAACTTATTTCAATTATTTAGGAATGATTCGGTTCACCAAACGGAATAAACCAATAAATTACGTTCATGTTCAATTTGCCCTAGGACAAAACAAAAGTTCAATTGGTTCAATATGCACAATACAGACTGACAATGTGCACCATCTTGTTGGACGAGTTGCACCTTAATAACTATTAGATGGCACATTATATTTAATTTACATACATATTAATTTTTTTAATCAAAAAATACTATAAAATATAAAATAAATAGGTATTAAATACTAATCATGCTTTTTATAATAAATAATATAATTTCTGTTGGTTATTTTAGTTATTTATATTAACCGATGAACTAAACCGATTATGTCCAAACTAAAAATTTCAGTTATAAATTTTATATTTCATTTTGATTATATGTTTTAACATTTACAAAAATCAAGTATGTCTCTTAGATTTCGACGTTATATTTGATTTTATTTAGATAACCGAAATACCCGAACGATCGAATTATATTACTATTATTATTATTATTATTATTATTATTATTATTATTATTATTATTATTATTATTATTATTATTATTATGCACCACGATTGCACAATACCGTTACACACATTGCACCTTAATGATTGCCTGATTGCACAATATCTACCAAAGGCGAATTAAATTGTTCGGCACAAGATTTAACAATTTGGTTTGAGTAAATTATTTTACCTTTAATATCTCAATTATATTTTCATTTATCACACTATATTATCCAATTTCTTTAGCATCATTGTATATTTAACATATTTGTATAAATTATGCATTTGACCCATATATTATATTGAGATTTATTAAAACTTTTTAAAATTGCAATTGAGCCCCTTTTATATATCTAATTCTCAAATATGAGCCTCAAGTCGTAAACACTCCTTCAGGATCACATGGCTCACCACCAGCAACCACCTGCCGCATACTCCTCGCCGGCGACCTGTAATATCCCATTTAGTAATTAATAAAAGTAATTATTTTAGTTCTAAGTTTGAACTAATTACTTTTATTAATAATGCTCGTTCCTAGTTTCGAGCTCAGTTATTAAGTTATTCAGTTAAAAGTTCAAGTTCAAGTAACATTTCATTTTATTTAGCTAAATGGATGTAAAATTGGCCATTTCTAGTTTGAATGAGAAAGAAAAAGAATAATGAGTCGAGATAAGTTAGGTCTCGAGTTCGGTTAAGTATCCATGAACATTTAAGTTATAAATGTTCAAAGAAGTGAGAAAATTTATTTAGACATTTTAGTCTATTTAAATTATTAGAGAGAAATATGAAATTTTTAAAATTTCGTTTTTTTTCAGTTTTCGATTGTAGTTGGAATTTATGTCCGATTTCAGTTCCGAGAAATACATTAAATTATTTTCTCTCTATATTCTTAGTAGACTACAAGATAAGAAAAATTTTTCAGCATAAAAATGAAAAATGCCAAAAGAAAAGAAGGAAATTCGAAAACTGTAAGAATTTTCGATTTTACGGTAACTGTTCGTTTTAAGTCAGAATTTGGTTCCGTAAATTGGAGAATTTTCACTAAATCTCGAATTTAATCATTGAGATCAGATTAGGATCAGAAGAGGGACCTTTCTAAGCATTGACTATGAGTTGGAGAAGTTTACATGTTAAGAATACTATTTATTATCTATATTTATTTTTACAAATTTGTATTGTTTATTATGAACAAAAATTCACTCTATTTGGATGTTTGTCCAAATTATCCAAAGGAAATTTCTAAGTATATAATATGTTTGGAGAGTTGAATAAGTTGATCATAAAATATTTTATGAGTATTTAAAGATATAAGTTACATTTGTTTATTATGAATAAAAATTCACTCTATTTGGATGTTTCTCACAATTTTGTCTATAAATAGAGGCCTAAAATTCAGAGTTTTTCACACCAAAATAAAGTTCCAAAAGTTATATAAGAGTGAGAGAGAGATAAGTGATAGAAATCTTTGGAGAAGTGAAGAATTGAAGTTAAGATCAAGTTTTCACTTTACCAAGAAGGAGGTAATTTACTTATCTTAAAGTTTCATACTTAAGTCCATGCTTTGATGATAAGTTTGCATGTTTATGAGTATGTATATCATGATTTAGAAGTTGAAGTTTATAATTGATACAAAGAGTTAAAGTTGTTAAAGATCAATTATATGATATATATGTACTTGATGTGATAAGATGTTGAATTGCATGAGATTTTCATAAAGATATGAATATGCTGGAAAAGTATGATTTAAATGAATGATTCTTATGTAAAAGAGGAGTACATGAGATCAAGAATTAAGTGATTTGGCAAAGTATAACTTGAGTTATGAATTTTTGAAGATGAACATGTAAGATGAAGTTTATGTTCATTATTGAATTTAAATTCTCATAACTTGATGAATATGCATGATTAAATTATGAAATTTTGATGATATGTCTAATTATAAGTTTAGATTATGACTGTTAAGTTTCATAATTTAAAGATGAGAAATGAATAAGTTATGAATATGAGAAGGCATATATGTGAAGATGAGTATATATGCAAGAATATTCATGATATGATCAAATTGTTAAAATGAGATTTTCATGATGTATTCTCATATGAGTGATGAGCAATTTGACAAAGTTTTGATTAATATGTTGAGTATACAATTTTATAAAAATTGTATTAAATATGGTATATTAATATCATTAAATGATGAGATGAGTATGCTTGAGTTTATTTTCACTTTCAAGATGTATAAGTGAAAAAGGAGTATGAGTAAATATGTAAGATAAGGGGAATATGATATATGATGAGTTAAGTGATTGATTGAGTAAAAGATTGAGAAAAAGTTAATTTGAGAAAAATATGATTTCTATAAGATTTGGATGAGTTAACCGAAAGAATTGAGAAAATGAGCATCTTATTGAGTATATGAGCATAAGTACTTAGTATATTTGTTTATATATATATTTTTGTAGCTTGAAGAGTTGCTACTCGAGAACAACACTTACGATTTTCAAAAGACGAAAGGTGGGGACCCAGACTGGGTATTACATTGAGTATAATATTGATATCATGTCCGAGGTATGTAAAAGTTTGAGTTTATACGCTTGGGATGAGGAGACATTAAGTTGTCTCGGAGTATATCCTAAAGTTCTAATGGAGGCCGTTGAGTTGCCTTGAGAAATATCCATTAGATTGTGCACAAGTATACGATGAGATATCGGTGAGCTGAAGTTGAGATACTGGAAGAGTTTTAAGTCCAGTTATATACCGAAGATCATGATATTGTATTATTATTGCTGTTTACTTTAGTATGGGTGTTTTCAGGGTACAAGAGGATCAGTACTCACCCCCATTGTGTTTTTCAGGTAACAGGGTCGAGGCGGAGGTGTGAGCTCGAGTGGTGGTGATGGTGGTCAGGCATTTTCTTCAAAATAAATTCAATAAGTATTTGATTGGTATGTAAAATAAAGTATACTTTGAGTTATTCCGCTACGCACAATGATGATTGAACTTGCATTTTTAAATAAAATTATGATTTGAAGTTTTTACCATTTCGAGAAGTATGAATATGGTTAAATGCAAGTTTAAAGGAAATCTGTCTCTTTATGTCTAAAAGAGGTATTAGACAAGAGTTTAAAGATAAACGGATTTTCAAGATGTAAGGTTGAGTAGCATCCCGAGTTATTCGCAAAAGATTTCGAAAGAGATATAAGTATTTTCGAAGTAAAATTTGCGAAAAAAATTACTCTGATAAGCGGGGTGTTACACGACCCGTTATACGCCGCCGGAGAACACCACCACATCACGCCGGTAGCCTATCTGTGAATTCATCACAAAAAAAAATAAAAATAGAAAAATAAACGGATCTGAAGGTAGGGGACGGGAAGGACGGTGATGGAGATGGCGATATCGACGACTCGATGCAGGGGCACTGACGAACGGAGCTGAAGGACGGAGGCTTCGTCAACGTAGTGGGCGATGTCCGGCCGACAGAGGCGATGGGTTGAAAACTCATCGCGGCGAACGGCGGACTGAGCATCTGTTAGTTCGGCGGGGGTTCGACAGAGGTCGGTGGTTGTTCTAGTGGTCCGGCGAGGGTCGTCGATGTTAATGGTCGGGGCAGTGGCGAGCGTGGAGGAAAGGGGCGGCGGCGGGAGCGGAAGAAAGGGGCGGTAGCGAGAGAGGAGTAAATGGGCTTCTGTCAGTGGGGATGGTGTGTGGCGGGTGGCAGCAGGCGGAGGTCACCGGTGGACAGTGTGTGTGTGTTTGTGTGTTTGTGTGTGTGCCCGCAGCAGTCTGTGTGTGTGTGTGTGTGCGTCTGTGAGAGTTGTGTGTGTTTGTGTGTGTGAGTATGTGAGAAATAATAAAATTATCTAAAGAAATCCTTCAATCACTTTTTTCTTGAGCATTTTCCGGCTGCAGTAAAATATCAAAAGATAGATTTTTATCTATTTCTCTACCGCGTAGGGCGTCCTAGTCAAATGCAGAGGGTGGTTGGAGTGGGGCCCACTTTTAATTAGGATTTATTGTATAATGACTACAATACAAAGTGGTCAAATGGATATATTTGACCACCATGTAACTACTTAATTACCAGATTGCCATAATATATTTGACTAACGTTGAAAAAATTTAACTTGATCATGAACATTGGTTTGACGGATCTATTGGTCCACAATCATTCTTATTTCTTTCACTATCTACCATTCTCATAATATCAATGGTCACGATGAAGTCAAAATTGAATAATCTGGTAAAACGCAAGGTGGCAAAATTGTAAATAAGTAGCATCTTATGGTCAAATCTATAGCATTAAAGGTAGTTCTGTAAAAACTTGACTTAGATTCTCTCGTCGCAGAGTAAAGATTCTCTCGTCGGAGAGTAAATTCTTTTAGGGAAGAGTGAATTTTCAAATTCCTTCTTAGTGATTTCAGTGTGAGCGGGTGCGTATACAGGTGTGTGTGTGTTTTAGTGGTGCACGAGTTCTCTATGGCAGAAGATTTGGGGGAAAGACTGGTTAACCTAAATTTATCAGCGAAAGAGGATCGGGGAGTAGAATTGGAAGATGATGATATAAGGCGGTGTGCTGAAGAATGTAAACGCAGTCTGTTAGGAAAGATAATTGGGGATAGGAAAGCAAGTAAGTTTGGGATCCGGCGAACAATGGGTATTGTCTGGCAGACGGCACAACCTCTTGAAGTTAAAGAATTGGGACCAAATTTTTTCCAATTTATATTTGGTTGCCAGGCAGATAAGGAGAAGGTGATGGTGGGGGTAAATTGGGTGTTTGAGAATCAGTACCTGGTGCTGCAAGAGTGGAGAGAAGATCTGGATAACAAGATGAAGGATTCAAGGAAATTACTCTCTGGGTTCAGGTACAAAAACTTCCTCTTCATTGGCTAAGTACAGAAGTTGGGTTGAAAATAAGGAAGTTATTTAAGAAGGTGAAAAATGTGGTCATTGTGAATGAAGGGGGAATTAAGGGCAGTATGCTTAGGCTGTTGGTTTCACATGATATTGCTGAGGCTCTACCTCGTTGTACTAAAATTAAACTAGGGAATCAACATCTGAATGTGATGTTTCAGTATGAAAAACTTGTTAGTTTGTGTTTTTACTGCGGGTTGGTGGGACACCTGGAGAGGGATTGCAAGACTAGGCTGAGGCATATTGAGGAGGGGAATGTGATGGAAGGGCAGTTTGGGGAGTGGATGAAAGCAGTGGATATAGGAAGGAATATGGGGTCATCAACAACATCTAATCCATCTCATACTTCTAATGGGCAGAGCAATATGCAGAGGCAAGGGGATCCATCCCCACAGTTAGAAATCCAAAGGGGAATGTGATGGGAGAGGGGAGTCATTTAAATGTAGCTTTGATTGAGATGACTGAGGTAGTGAACAGGAGGGAGGAAAGGGAGGATCATCAATTCAGTGAAATGATAGTGGGAGTAGGAGGAATGTGGTGGTGGAGGATAGAGGAAGTGCAAAGAAGAATGGGAAGGAAGTGGTGGTTGAAATAACAGAGGGTGAGCAAGCAGTATCTAGAGGAGAGTCAATTGGGAAAAGTTCTAAACTTCAGATTGGGGTCAAAGCTCCTACAATGTGGAAAAGGAAAGGGCAATCAAGGGGAAGACTTAAGAGAACAGATAGCCCTATGGAGATTGTGCCAGCACAGGGATAGGGGAAAAGACAGAGGCAATGTTTTGACCAAACCATGGAACCAGGTAATGAGGAGCAAGCTAAAAGGGTGTGTACAGCTGTGACTAATGCCAATGAAGATCAGGTGGGGGTAGCCAGCCTTGAGTGGCCCCAAATGGATAAATGAAGACAATCTTGTGGAACTGTAGAGGTCTGGGAGGGCCCTCTACAGTTTCCCAGATAAAGGAAGCCATTAAGGCCCACCTTCCTAGTTTTGTGTTTTTATCTGAGACTAGGAAAACAAAATTTTTCATGGAGACAGTTTCTAAGAAATTGGGATTTGCTTATAGGAGAGTTATAGTAGAGCCTTTGGGTTTAAGTGGAGGTCTTATGTTGATGTGGAATAGAGATGTGGAGGTGATGCAAGTAGTTAAGCATAGCTTCTGTATTCAAGTGAAGTTCAAGACTAAGCTGATGGGGAACCCGGAATGGATGATCTTTGTATATGGGAGTACAAACAGTCAAACAAGAGAGCTGCAATGGAGGAAATTGGAGAGGGATAAGGGAGTTTGGGGTGATAAATGGTGTATTGGGGGTGATTGGAATGCTATTAGAGGTAGTAGTGAGAAGAGAGGAGGGAGGATTAGATCTGAGAGGAGTTTCGACAGTTTTAATGCTTTCAGTGCTAATATGGGAATGATGGAGCTTAATATGGAAGGATATCCTTTTACTTGGGGTAATAATAGGCAGGGGGAAGGGTTTGTGGAGGAGAAGTTAGATAGAGTTTTTGGATCTTTTGCTTGGGTTTCTTATTATTCAGGTGCTAAAGTTCTTTCTCAATTCAAGAGTGCATCTGATCACTCTATGCTGATTATGGACACTGGCATCCAAGAACCTAAATTCTTCAAGAGGTTTGTTTTTGATAAAAGGTGGGTGAAAAGAGAAGGGTGTGCTGAGGAAGTTGAGAAAGCTTGGAGTGAAGAAGTGGATGGAAATCCAATGGTGCAAGTTAGAGAGAAGATCAAGAAAACCAGGATGGCTATTATCAAATGGAAGAAGGTATTTCAATCAGAAAATGTGAAGAAAATTGAGGCTCTGACATTAAAATTGGAGGAGATGAGGGAGTTAGGGGGGCAGAGGAATTGGGAAGAGTGGGAGAAGATCAAACAGGAATTGGACCAATCTCATCTGGAGGAGGAATTGTTTTGGAGTCAAAAGGCTAGACTGCAATGGTTGACAGAAGGGGACAGAAACACTAAATTTTACCATGCTATGACTTTACAGAGGAGAAAGAGGAATGCAATTGAAAGATTGGTGGTGGATCAGAATAGAGTGGTGGATTCTCAGGAGCAGATTGAGTTAGCTATCACTGATTTTTACCAGAAGTTGTTTGAATCTGAGGGATCTTGGGGAGAGGCTGAAGTGTTATCATTAATTCCTCAATCAATTACAGCTGCTATGAATGAGGCTTTAATAGCCCCTGTGGAGGAAGAAGAAGTGAAGGCTGCCCTTTTCTCCATGAATCCAAACAAGGCTCCAGGTAATGATGGCATGACCCCTCTTTTTTATCAGCATTTCTGGCCTTTGTTGAAGGAAGATATATGTAATGCTGTATTGTTCTTTTTTGATTCTGGGAGAATGAGTACTAGTTGGAACCACACTGTGGTGACTCTGATTCCTAAAGTTGATAATCCAGTTTCTATTAATCATTTTAGACCAATTAGTCTCTGCTGTGTTTCTTACAAGATAGTGGCTAAAGTGTTGGACTAGTAGATTGAGAGAGTGTCTGAAATTCTGCATTCATGAAACACAATCTGCATTCATCCCTGACAGACAGCTCCTTGACAATGTGGTAATTGCTCATGAAGTTATTCATTTTCTCAATAGACATAGGTCTGGTAATAAATGTTTTATGGCAGTAAAGCTTGATATGATGAAAGCATATGACCGGGTGGAGTGGAACTGTGTGGTGAAGACAATGCTTCAAATGGGTTTTCATAGAACTTTTGTTCAGTGGATTTTTGCTTGTGTCTCAACTGCAGTGTATTCTTTTAATGTTAATGGAAGGGTGTCTGGTTTTGTTACTCCATCAAGGGGTATAAGACAGGGGGACCCTTTGTCCCCTTATCTTTTCATTATAATCTCTGAGGTGTTTTCCCAGTTAATTAGAAATGCAGTGAGGGAGGAGGATATTCAGGGTCTGAAAATTTCTAGAGGTGGAATCACTTTATCTCATCTATTGTTTGCTGATGACACATTGGTGTTTTGTGCTGCTGATATTCCAAATGCATTAAGCTTGTTGAGAATTCTTACAGTTTATCAGAGTTTTTCTGGGCAAAGGGTGAATCTTTTCAAGTCTAATGTGTTTTTTAGTAGAAATACTAGTGATCTGATGAAGCAAGCTGTCTGTCAGACTCTCAATGGGATTTCAGTGTGTTCCTCAACTAGATATTTGGGATTACCAATGGGATTGGGGAGGTCTAAGAAAGAGGTGTTTCAGTTTGTTCTGGATGCTGCGAAGAAGAGAATTAATAGCTAGACTAACAAATTTCTGTCCAAGGCTGGGAAGGAGGTAATGATGACTTCTATTATAAATGCTCTTCCTGTTTTTGTCATGTCATGCTTTTGCTTGCCTGTGAGTATATGTCAAGATAATGCAAGAATGAGTGCTGAGTTTTGGTGGGCTGGGGGTACTGATCAAAAGAGAGGGCTATTTTGGGTGGCTTGGAAAAAAATTACTATTCCAAAAGAGGCAGGTGGGCTGGGGTTTAAAGATGTCAGGTTGTTTAATGATTCCTTAATTCTTAAGGAAATCTGGAGATTATTAACCAAGCCTAACACTTTGATGACTAGAGTGCTTAGAGATAAATACTTCCCTTCTGGGTGTGTGTTGGAGGCTAAAAAACATAGTTCTGCATCTTAGCTTTGGAATTCTTGGGTGAAAGTCTTGAACCTGTACAGGGAGGGTTTCAGAAGGGAAGTAAAGGATGGCCTGAATACTAAAATCCTGTCTTATCCTTGGGTGAAGGGTTTAAATGCAGGGAAACCGGTTCTGAAAACAGAGGTGAATTCATTGCCTTGTGTTTGGGTGAATGAGCTGATGACAGGTGATGGCAGAGCTTGGAATAGAGAATTGATTCAAAATCTACTTACTGAAGCATCATGTAAAGCCATCCTTGAAATTAAAGGTTTGGATCCTGCTGCAAGAGACAAATGGGTGTGGACATCTGATGTTAAAGGTATGTTTTCTGTTTCTTCAGCTTATGCAGTAGCAGTGAAGAAGAAGATCTTGAGTCTTGATATGCCAGGGTGTAGTTCTAATATTAATGTTGATAAGAAGGCTAGAATGAGGTGTTGGAATCTGAGGGTGAAAGGTAAGATAAAGCACTTTATTTGGAGATGTTTTACTGATTGTTTACCTGTTAGTGCTAATCTGAGAATTAGAGGGATGCAACTGGATAATGTCTGCCAGTGTTGTGGTGAAAGTGTGGAAACTGTAGAGCATGTGATGTTTACTTGTTCTAGAGCAGCTATGGTGTGGAGTTTAGTGCCTGTCAGTTGGGATTCTGCTTCTATACCTGTTGATAAATTCAAATATTGGTGGTGGAGCATTACAGAACTAAAGAAGACACCTACTTCTGAAGCCCGGATACAATTGTCGACGTATATTTTGTGGTGGCTTTGGAAGTCGCGTAACTTATGGGTTTTTCAAAAGGTATGGATGCCGGAGCCGATGATTGCGAGAAATGCTTTGAAGGAGTGGTCTGAATTTAATTGTTGTAATTTGTAGATTGTGTTTGTCTTTTGTTTGAGTTTTTTTTGTTTAGTGTGTGGTTTGGTTGTCGGGGCTAGGTTCTTAGGTTCAGTGGCCCCGGTTGTTTCTTCTATGTTGTTGGTTGGGTGTTTCGGTTTATGTTGTCTAAAGGGTCCAAATCTGTGAATTCGCCTTTACACGGTTGTAGTTTTTTGTTGTTGGTTTGTGTTTATGTAGTCCACCGTCGGAGTGGATCTCCTTTGGTTTGTTTCGGTTGTGTATTTTCGAGCTAGTTTGCTCGTCAGTTTGTACTTGAACTATTTTTTTAGTGATTATGAGTATTTGTTATCGTTGGAAAAAAAAAAAGGTAGTTCTGTAATTTAGTCACCCATCCACTTGGTGGGTCCCACCACAAACAAAACCACTCTATCTCATACGCACACACCCCAAAAACACACACTCACACAAACCAAAACACACACCACGCACGCAGAAGAGCTCGACATTTATCTTCCTCATCTGGCCGCCGTCCACAATCGCCGTCACCGTCAATTTTATCATCGGCCGCCGTCCTCCCTAACCCCGCCGTCAGTCGTACATCATCAAGCTGTGGGGGCGTCCAGTAACCCGTCGCTACCGCCCACAAATCGCGCCCTTTCCTCCGTGCTCAGCCACTGCTCCGCCGTCCATCAAATCAACCGTGTCTTCCATATCCGCCGTCGCGTCGCCTAGCTCTCACCGCCACCACTATTTTTTTGCCGAAAATTACGATGAACTCGCGGCCCTTTTTCTGCAATTTAACCTTTTGTTGTGTCCTGTGCGTGAAATCGGGGCTCACAGAGGTCGTGATGTTGATGTCGAGGAGGATCTCAAGTGACGAGGATGGCGACGTTGATATGTGCATCTGGGATCGCTGAGAAGTATTTAATATCTATAGGGGTGTAGTTTTGAGAATTTGATTAGATTTAGGGTCTTGATTGCAATTACATAAGTTTTTAATATGCTATAATTCTGGCCATGGGGTGAATGTGCAATTTGTTGTAACAAATTGTGGTTAAATTACCGAGTACCGAATCGAATGATTCGTTCCCCGGGTCGATCTATCGAGGAAAGCGGTTCGAAATCTAAAATTGGTGTTGATTACACATAAAAGGAAAATAAATCCTAAACATTCTAATCAAGGTGATTGAAATTAATTATTAACTAAGAAATAACATAAAAACATAAATCAACCTAAAATGTACATTAGACAATGATAAAGAAGCTAGGGAGTCGGGGATAATTATTCGAGTTCGCAACGTAAAGCCATGCAATTAAGCGTTCGGTTTGAGATTGACGCTCTTGCCTAAGCATCTAGCAGTTTGCTCATGATAATTCTTCGTAATAAGGGATTGAACATAGACGAGCAAGTCCGAGCATACTGTTGGAGTATACTGTAAAGCAAACTTTTACGTGAGCTTTTGGATTGTATTATTCGATTTCCCATTTGACTGAAATAAATGTTTTTCACATTGTTGCATTCTTTATGATTGCTTGTATGCTAAATGTCCAATTATCTTATATTGTAGACAATGTGGTGTGTTAGTAGTCACACAGAAGATTACATTGTCGGTTCCTTATAAGATATAAATGGTATTCACAACTGAGATAGTTATGGACATGACTATCGGTGTAGGTTGTAGTATAAACTGGATGTAGCTAGTCTTGGCTATTGGTTTATAGTAGTGTGCTGCGTCGCATTGAAAGGATCACAGTTGAGACGTGTTCTTCTGTTCTGACTATCATGAAGAACCTAGGTCTCGGTGACTCTAGTAATTCTTAACCCTAACTGTGGTAATTAGATATATGGGATATTTGTTTGTTACTTTGACTTACCATGGGTGAGGACCAAGTATTGGTTCAATAGCTCCGTATCTTGGGTAACAACACTATCTGCATGATATCTATTTATTGGCATTAGGGCACCGTGTCCTGGACACCAGGTTGGTGACGTCCCCTTAAGGAACTCATAAGGATTATCGTATAAACCCTGCAGGTGGATTTAATCCGTACGATAATAAGGTTGAGTGGTACTACTTAAGGATTAAAAGATATTAATTAATTAAAGCAGTCAGAAGCTTTAATAATTAATGGACGTGCGATATCTTAAACACGGGGAATTATATCGAGTCTAATAGAAGCCCTGATTCATTTCGGGATAGGACGGGAGTACAATATTAATTCTCTAGTGGAATGAATTAATATTTACGGGCCAAATTGTGTTCTGGGCTGAACATAAGAATTTGGGCCTGTAGGGAGCCCAAACACTATACCTTCTAAGAGATCCCTAGGCTGGCCCAAGGACCTCAATAAAAAGAGGGGACTTCCCACGTTCTAAACCCTAAGAGACTTTCGTGAGACACTCCAGCCACCATCGTGGAAAGAGTAACGAGAAGGGTTCGAGAAAGACGTGGGCAGTTCTCTTCTTTCAACCGTTTGGAGGATCGTCGTCCATCCGGCGTCCAAACGCGGTCAGGACACAGTTTAGAAGATCACTCAGATCGAATCAAAGCCTTGAAGAAAGGTATATCTATGTTCATCCTTTAGGAGCATGCTTAGGTTTAATCGAAATCATGTATGTACATGTTTTGGTATCCGATATCGATCCGTGGAAAGGACCGCCTCGTCTGCGTGTTCCAGCAATTGGTATCAGAGCCTCGGTTTCGTAGATTATCGGCTCTGCCTGGAACATGTAGTTGATTTTGTTTATTCGTTTATTCGTTTTCAGTCATGTTCATGGTGTGGATGATGTTTTATCTCGTTTATGCTTCTGGATGGTATCTATCGCAGCCCTTGTTTATTGATGTAATCGTTTTTCCCACCAGATAATAAGTGTGGGTAGTATAGGCGATTTTATAGACTGTAGTAGGGCTATTGTTGTTCGATTTTTGCTGTAATTTTGTGTTCAAAGTCGAACGTGGTGAAAATGATAATCCTGGAGGCAGCGGCTAGGGTTTCAGCATTCACCGGGGCCGGTTTCGTCGGCGAAAACCGTTTTGGCCATAACTTTTGCTACAGGTGTCCGATTTCAGCCCATAATACCATTTCGGAAAGGGGAGAGCGAGATCTACAAGAGTCACGTCTACTCCGTAACAGCCTGTGGCGGGGTCAAATTCAATCGTCTAGATGAAGTTTTGGCCCTTTTTCCGTCGACGGGTGCCGATGTCGCGTGAACGGCCGGTTTTGTGCAAGATGCCGATTCGAGTGTTCATCCACGACCTTGCTGAATCATGTAATAGCTTTGATAGGCTGTTAGTGGTTAGTTTTTGTAACACCCCGCTTATCAGAGTAAATTTTTCGCAACTTTTACTTCGAAAATACTCATATCTCTTTCGAAATCTTTTGCGAATAACTCGGGATGCTACTCAACCTTACATCTTGAAAATCCGTTTATCTTTAAACTCTTGTCTAATACCTCTTTTAGACATAAAGAAACAGATTTCCTTTAAACTTGCATTTAACCATATTCATACTTCTCGGAAATGTTAAAAACTTCAAATCATAACTTCATTTAAAATGCAAATTCAATCATTATAGTGCGTAGCGGAATAAATCAAAGTATACTTTATTTTACAAACCAATCAAATACTTATTGAATTTATTTTGAAGAACATACGGAACCACCATCACCACCACTCGTGCTCACACCTCTGCCTAGACGCTGTTACCTGAAAAACACAATGGGGGTGAGTACTGATCCTCTTGTACCCCGAAAACACCCATACTAAAGTAAACAGCAATAATAATACAATATCATGATCTCCGGTATATAACTGGACTTAAAACTCTTCCAGTATCTCAACTTCAGCTCACCGATATCTCATCGGATACTTGTGCACAATCTAATGGATATTTCTCAGGCAACTCAACGGCCTCCATTAGAACTTAGGATATACTCCGAGACAACTTAATGTCTCCTCATCCCAAGCGTATAAACTCAAACTTTTACATACCTCGGACATGATATCAATATTATACTCAATGTAATACCCAGTCTGGGTCCCCACTTTTCGTCTTTTGAAAATCGTAAGTGTTGTTCTCGAGTAGCAACTCTTCAAGCTACATAAAAATATATAAACAAATATACTAAGTACTTATGCTCATATACTCAATAAGATGCTCATCTTCTCAATTCTTTCGGTTAACTCATCCAAATTTTATCATACTTTTTCTCAAATTAATTTTTTTTTTCTCAATCTTTTACTCAATCAATCACTTAACTCATCATATATCATATTCCCCAAATCTTACATATTTACTCATACTCCTTTTTCACTTATACATCTTGAAAGTGAAAATAAACTCAAGCATACTCATCTTATCATTTAATGATATTAATATGCCATATTTAATACAATTTTTATAAAATTGTATACTCAACATATTAAATCAAAACTTTGTCAAATTGCTCATCACTCATATGAGAATAGATCATGAAAATCTCATTTTAACAATTTGAACATCTCATGAATATTCTTGCATATATACTCATCTTCACATATATGCCTTCTCATATTCATAACTTATTCATTTCTCATCTTTAAATTATGAAACTTAACAGTCATAATCTCAACTTATAATTAGACATGTCATCAAAATTTCATAATTTTATCATGCATATTCATCAAGTTATGAGAATTTAAATTCAATAATGAACATAAACTTCATCTTACATCTTCATCTTCAAAAATTCATAACTCAAGTTATACTTTGCCAAATCACTTAATTCTTGATCTCATGTACTCCTCTTTTACATAAGAATCATTCATTTAAATCATACTTTTCCAGCATATTCATATCTTTATGAAAATCTCATGCAACTCATCATCTTATCACATCAGGTACATATATCATATAATTGATCTTTAACATCTTTAACTCTTTGTATCAATTATAAACTTCAACTTATAAATCATGATATACATACTCATAAACATGTAAACTTATCATCAAAACATGAATTTAGGTATGAAACTTTAAGATAAGTAATTTACCTCCTTCTTGGTAAATTGAAAACTTGATCTTTCTTCACTTCTCCAAAGATTTATACCACTTATCTCTCTCTCACTCTTATACAACTTTTGGAACTTTGGTGTGAAAAACTCTGAATTTTAGGCCTCTATTTATAGGCACAATTTGAAAAATATTCAAATAGAGTGAATTTTTGTTCATAATAAACAAATGTAACTTATATCTTTAAATACTCATAAACAAATGTAACTTATATCTTTAAATACTCATAAAATATTTTATGATCAACTTATTCAACTCTCCAAAAATATTATATGCTTAGAAATTTCCTTTGGATAATTTGGACAAACATCCAAATAGAGTGAATTTTGGATCATAATAAACAATACAAACTTGAAAAAAATAAATATAAATAATAAATAGTATTCTTAACATGTAAACTTCTCCAACTCATAGCCAATGCTTAGAAAGGCCCCTCTTATGATCCTAATCTGATCTCAATGATTAAATTCAAGATTTAGTGAAAATTCTCCAATTTACGGAACCAAATTCTGACTCAAAACGAACAGTTACCGTAAAATCAAAAATTCTTACAATTTTCGAATTTCCTTCTTTTCTTTTGGCATTTTTCATTTTTATGCTGAAAAATTTTTCTTATCTTGTAGTCTACTAAATATATAGAGAGAAAATAATTTAATGTATTTCTCAGAACTGAAATCGGA